GGCGACTTTTCTATGTCCCCCTTTCTTATTTCTAGAAAAACGGAGCCCTCACAAAACCATACGGTTTCATAAGTGAATGTCTAACCAATCCATAGAGTACAGCTTAATCCAAGAAAACACTTGCCAATTGCTTTCAGAGAGGTCAAGCAAGCTGCATATTTGCTTAATGCATTGCTAAACATTCATTTTTAAACAGATGATTGGAAAATTCAGAGATATTTTTTGTCTGAAAAACCCTTTCTCTATTCCTCTCTTTCAAAAGAAGTTTACTTCATAACATTACTCTAGAGCAATATGCGCTTTTCACTAATAGGTTGCAGTGCATATTGTTTATTTGGTTGTAGCTAAAGGCCCCTTATGTATAAATCAGTGCAGAGAAATGAGGATTTTTTTTATTATAGAACTAAATTTTCCAAAAATACCTTAATTTCTTGTTCAGGAAATGGTACCATTGTTTACTTGAAATAGATCTTTTGATTTAGTGGCTTGCAGGAATCCTCCTTTGCAGAGGGACACCAGCCATGCTTGTCGGTAAGAGCATTGCATTGTTCTTGCCAATGGCAAATATTTTTAAGAAGATATTTCAATCACCAGATMATTAGCAGAAAGAGCTAACCAACAAGAACAGCAAAATGATTCCAAAAATTGACAACTTTTCCAAATTTTGGAAGCTCCCATTTATCCGGTTTTGGGGACAAATTCAGGTTACTCAGAAGTATTGCTTAATATCAACAAGGAATAAGCTATGAAGAATTTCTGTAATTGCCATGGTATTAASCAAAATGTGTTTGCACAAACAGATTAGGAGAACTGACAGGATGGTATGTTGATATCCCAAATTCCTCAAATTCAATTATCCTAGGATCAGATAGGCAAAGTTTTAGTGAGAAGAAAGACCTTGAAAGGGACTCCTTTCACGTGACACCCCCTCTTTGACCCGCTCTGCTGTTTATCTCCAACAACACGCTGGGACTCGATGATCTTGAAGGTCTTTTCCAGCCATAATGATTCTGTGATTCTGTGAACAGACTCCACATCCCTTTCAACTTCTGTCCAGTTTCCAGGTTTCCCATTGCAGTCTCCAACACTCCCTTGGTCATCTCCTACCCTGCTTTTTTCCCCCCATGTACTTCCCTGAAATCCATCATTCCCCAACCTACTGAAATTCCCACCAAATCTCCCCGGGTTTTCCCATTTGTAGTCCTCTGCCCTGCAAACCAGGAATGCATGCTGCCATGGATGCAAAATTAAGTTCTGCTATTCCTGGGTTAAAAAACAAATTTAAGAGAGAAAAATAAGGGTAAAGTTAAAACATTTTCTAATTGCATTTTAATATTCAACATACAACACTTAAGACTTCTGAACTAGTTCATATTATTTTGCTTTCAGTATCCAAAATAACAAAAAGAGAGAAAAAGCTTCAATCTAYCACAGAACAGACCTGGCCTGTTGTACCACCACCCATGACAAAGTGTTGTAGGTTTTCCTGTTTGCAAGGYTGGATCAGCAAGAGGTTTTATCAGGCAGCTAGTTGCAGTTCCAGGTTCTCCAGCTACTTCAGTGCTAGTCTGGACACCTCTACCTACACCAGCTGCTAATAGTCCTCCTTGGGATCATCTCCTAGTTGTAGATTACCAGACTCAGCAGGGCACCCCTTTTATTTTATTTTATTTTATTTTATTTTATTTTATTTTATTTTATTTTATTTTATTTTATTTTATTTTATTTTATTTTATTTTCGTGCTGGAATAATCCTTAAATTGGGGTAGAGGGGAGGAGACTTATAAACCAAATATGCAAGCCTCAGCTGAGAACTGCCTGCATGGTACAGACAACTAGTAAGCTGGTTAATGCTGACCCATTTTTACCACTTCTATGTCTTTTTGGGCAGAGAATCTGACTTTCAGCATACTAAGAAACAGCCTGTAGCTCATCATGGTACATAGTACACACCAGTGTCTTCATTGCAATTGATTCCAGTGATTCATATCTGGGTTTGTGCAGCTCTGAAGTCTTATCAGATTCATGGGTCTGTGTCATCACTTTTGCTGAACTCACTTATCAGGTTCTTCTTACCTGAGAAATCCTTTATATCAAGTCTTTCCCACACCAGAAATCTGATTGTCAGGTTCTTCGTGTTCATATAGATGCAAAGAGTTTGAACTTGTGGTGTAAGCCTAGAATATTACTTCATGTGAGAAAGCTTTAATAGTAGAGATGATCCTTCAAAAACCAAGCTCCTACTCATGCTATTTTTGCATTGCTCACCAAAAATAATATGAAACTTTAACTATCATGTAGGACATTCCTTTTTGTTGCAAACCGTTGGAGAATGCAGGAGTCCTTTATGAAAGACGACAAAATACATAGCAAGATCTCATATTCTAAGAGCAACTTTGTGAGTGGCTCTCCAAAATCACAAAACCTTCTGGAAAATCATTTTATGGCTGAGACCTGGTTTAAGTGCATCTCCACAAAGTGTTGGTCTTATGGTGCTACCAAACTGCCAGGTGATGATTTTCCATATCTTTTGCTTGGGATCTGTCACTAGAGGGCAACGGAGCTAATCACTTCATCACTCTTCTTCCATAAATCCTCATGTAACTCTTGGCTGAAGTTACAGATGAAGATTGCACATCACCTTTTGCATTTTCTTCCCACAAAACCCATGCTCAAGTGCCAACTTTTACAGCTGGGTTGTGTTGGGTAGTTTAACTGCAGCATCTTGAATGTTACTGGCAGGAGAACGATTAATGTTTCCAGCAATAAAGCTTCTGTGTATCCTGCTTCATTTCACAGGTCATGGATCCACTACGGTGCTGAAAATGATAGAGAAAACAGCTTCAGTGTAAATAACTTAAATTTAGTTCCTGATTCTGAATGACTGATGTCAGTGGAAGATTTACCAAAGACCTAATTTTACGCAAGATTTGGTCTTAAGTACTAACTTTAATCCTCAGCATATCAAAATGTTATTTGCTGACCTTCTGAAAAGTGATTCAGGTATAACAGGTATCTCTGTGTTTTGCATTGCCATGTTCAAAGCCAGCTGGAAGGAGGTTGTTAGATTCAGTTTCATGTAACTCCAGCAATGCCAAATGGTCTGACCTGTCCTAACTTGCAGGTACCTGGCATGGAAACAGTCTATCATTTTGAAGTGCTTGTCATTCCCGAACACAGCCATGGTCTCATTTCATCTCAGCTATGATGCACCAAAGGGTGGTGCCATTTCAGAAGGCTGTAAAGCTCATGATTGCCTGTTTCATGGGTGATTTGAGGTATTTCACTGAGAGTAAGTTTTTAGAGCCTCCTGTCATTTTAGCATGCTGCCAACGCTACCTTCCTCTGGCCAAGAGTCAATAGTTCTCTAATTTCTTATGATTATCATGGGACAGTTTCCAAGTATATGTACGTGGCATTACCAACCAAATATATTTTCCTCTGTGCTTACCCAAATGGTATCTCTGGATGATCTTTCAAGGAACCTGGAGAAAAAATATGCATATATTTAAGTATGACAAATTCAGATGTGTAACTCACATAGGTGACTCCTACCTCCTATTTCTCTACATGACTTCTCCCCGTGTGCAAAGGCAAGTAACTGAAGCCAACTATATAATAAAGTGTGTTRTGAAGAAGGTATTAAACATCCATGATGGGATATTTCAAAAAAGGGTTGCAATGGGTTGYACTATGTAAGAGAAAGAGAATATGGCAGAGTGAGAGAGGCTGTGGGCTGTCTTCTCCCCGAGATGTATATATATGCTTATGTATCTAATATACTTACRTATCTAATATGTCACATATGATATGGAAGTCCCTCACGTGATGAGAATACCGAGAGGTGTGAATGCAGATATCTTACCTCCATTTTTAGAGGTATATATTTTGGAACATGGGATGCTATTTGCATTAAAACAAAAACTGATTTTTCTTCTTAAAGCTTTTTGATTTATGATAACTTTTTTATTTAATAGAGAGTCTTCTCTTAGGAATGTATAGCTTGTCCTTTTAGACTGGCTCCTACATTCATTTGCTTCAATGTCCTTTCTCCAATGCTGAGGAACTTCAGAAGATGATGCAGGAAATCCTGCCACAGTTAATCACAAAAAAAAAAAAAAAAAAAAAAAAAAAGCCACTTTCACAGAAGACTTCTTCAGGTCCTACCAGCCTCTCTTTTCACCCGCTTGGTTGTATCTTCATCCTGTTTTTGAATAAATGGTGCTGCCATCCTGTTTGCTGTGGTTCAAGCCCAGCTCCACCGAGCGCCTTAGCCCCTTTCTGATCTTGAGCTGTTGACAAAAGCCGGTAGAAGGTGGGGGGAAAAAAAAATACAACCTGGCCCTTCAATAAAKGAATTCAAGCCCATTGAAAAGTAGGTTGTGTAAAAACTGTCGGTGGTGGCGATTTTGTTACATGGGGGCAGCTAAACACTCGCCAAGTTCTCCGCCCGGAGGGACTATAACCGCGAGGAAAGGGGCTTTAAGAAAAAAAATAAAAAAGAAAAGAAGAAAAAAGGAAAGAAAGAAGAAAAAGAAAAGAATAAGAAGAAAATAGGTTATTTTTAACACGTTTTTCTGTGCGCCGGGAGCTCCGCGCCGCAGGTGACGGGCGGCGGGCGGGCGGGGAGGTCCCTGTCTCTGTCCCCGTCCCTGTCGCTGTCGCTGTCCCTGTCGCTGCCGCGGCCCCTCCGCCGGTGSCGGTGSCGGTGGCGGTGGCGGGGCGGGCCGCGGAGCTGAGTGGAGGCGGCCCGCGTCACTCAGCGGCAGGCGAGGCTGAGGCGAGGCCGCCGCAGCAGCAGCAGCAGCGCCTGGCGCCACTGCGCAGCGCAGCGCGGCGGCACCATGAGGGCGCCTCTCGGGGTACGCGGCGGGCGGGCACGGGCCGGGCCGGGCCGAGCCGGGCCGGGCCGGGCCGGGCCGGGCCGGGCCGCGCCGCGCCGCCGCTCGCTGACCCGCGGCTCCCTCTCGGCAGGACGTGGCCGGCGCCCTCTGCCTCGTGTCGCTGGCGGCCGCGCTCGACTTCAGGTACCACCACGGCGCGGAGCTCGAGGCGTTCCTGAGGCGCGTGCACGGCGCCTACCCGGCCCTCACGCACCTGCACAGCCTGGGCCGCTCCGTGCAAGGTAACGGCGGCGTTACCCTCTCCGTAACCGCCGCTCCGGGCTGCCTTGGAGAGCCTCCCTGTCTCCATAACCGCCGCTCCGGGCTGCCTTGGAGAGCCTCCCTGTCTCCTTAACCTCCGCTCCGGGCTGCCTTGGAGAGCCTCCCTGTCTCCATAACCTCCGCTCCGGGCTGCCTTGGAGAGCCTCTCCTTAACCTCCGCTTTGGGCTGCCTTTGGAAGAGCCTCCCTGTCTCCTTAACCTCCGCTTCGGGCTGCCTTTGGAAGAGCCTCCCTGTTTCCTTAAGCTGTGCTTGGGGTTGAGATACCTTGAGATAGTCTCTCTCCTGCCTTGAAAGAATCTCTCTCTCTCTCTCTCTCTCTTTCCTTTAAAAAACTGTTCCCCTCTCTTTAACGAGAATAGCAAGCTTCATGTGAACTAACACTTGCCTGCTCTCCTAGACTTGCATGCTTTAATAATACTACATCTATGTAGTTCTTACGGAGGAAAAAAAGTAGATTTCAGATCAGAAAAGAGATATTTATATATACATACATATATATACATTTATATATATGTGTGGTATGAGATTGAATGGAGAAGATCATTCAGTAGAGGTGTCATCTGCCCCTCTAACCCCGTTCATCCAAATTCACATGAGTGAGGACGGTCCCATCTCCTGTAGTGACATCTGTCCCCTTCCAGGTGGAGAGCATCAAGCAAACGCTCGTAGCCTCTTGGTTGCTTCGTCCTTGTGTTGCTCCCTGTTTGCTCCTTTCATTTAGCACGGTTGTTCTTGTCCGGGATRTAACTTGTGCTTCCAAGAGCCTGCCCTGGCTCCGTGAGGTACCACGCAGCTCTCGTCCCACCACGTGTACGTGGTCGGGTCTCTGCACGTGTCTGCCATCGCTTTGAAGAAAGTCTCGTGATGGGAGGGCTCAAACTAGACAAGGAATCTGAGGGTGTTTTAAGCTCTGCTCTTCTTGGTCTTATCAAAGTTAGGATCATATGGCGTTGTGTTATCCACACAGGAGAAGGCTGCTCCCGTTCACCATGATTCCCTTAAGTGCAAGCAATTAATTAGCCACGTTTTCATATTTCTGCCTTGAGAGACCTAGCTAACTTTTTTTAATAACAGGGCTAAATTCTGCCCTCTCTGACAATCTTTGCTGGCTTATCTTTGTCAACCTAAAGCAAAAATTTTCGTATGAGCCAAGAGGCTGAAATTTTGGCTTGTGCTTGCCTAGGCATCCAGAAGTAGGTAACGTCATTGAACGTGTCCAGGTTCCACCAACCTGAAAGCAGAACCTGAAAGGGCAGCCTCCTCGCTTGTGAGTGAGCGTCACCTTGAAGCTTTGCTCACATTTTGGGATCCTGCTTTCTGTTGCGCTTAGCTGCGTGAGGAAGCGTGCTTATTTATGATGAGAAACAGAAATTAGTTTAAATATTTAAGAACTGAGATCAGTATTATATAGTAAGTTGTCTCTTGAACCATTGCTGTTCCTGATATGGTAATGTGGTGTTTTCCTCGGATTAGTTACAGAGGACTTATTTCTATAAACCCGGTACACATACCTTTACTGTTAACATCAACATTGTTATTGTATTATTCCTAAATCTCATTTTTTACCCTTACTAAGAATGATTCTTGCATGTAAGAATCTGGAATGATGTGCTGCCATCTAGATTATGAACGATGTGAAATGCAGGCTTGATTTAATGGGTAGGGCAGTAGATTTAATGGGCAGGGCAGTAGGGATTGCACAAGCTTTTTYTTTTTTTTTTTTTTTTTAAGCACAGATATCTAAAAGCTCTTACTCTGCAGGTCTGGAGCTTTACTTGCTCCAGGCAGCTCATACAATAATTTAGGTCTGGGAGCCCTCTAGTTCAAGAACCTGTTCAAAGAAGGACTGACTTCAAAGTTAGATTGTGTTGGTCAGAGTCTTTTCCTCTCATGTCTTGGAATATCTGCAAGGATGGAGATTCCACAGTATCTCTGTTTACCTTATCCAGTGCTCAACTGTACCTTCACTGGGGATTTTTTTTCCCTTAAATCCTATCAGAATTTTCCTTGCTGCAAACTGTGACCTGCCTCTTCACTGTGAATCTCTAAGAAGAGTCAAGATTCATGCTCTCTGTAACAGCCCTTTCRAAAGTGGAAGGCTCCATTTGAATCATCCTCCAGGCGAATCCCAATAGGGGATTAGTCTGTCCCAGGTACAGGACTTTGCATTTGCCAGTGTACAACTTCATGAGGTTTCTTCAGCTCGTCAAGGCTGTGTCGAATGGCAGCCCTGTCCCTGGTGAAGCTGCTGAACAGTGTGAGTCTTGCTCTTGATGTTGGAGAAATGTTGCTGTCACTTGGGTTTTGAGTCCTTGATCACCAGTTGCTCAGTCTAGATGGGTTTTTTTTTGCCTTGCTGTAGTCTGCCAATCCAATTCATGTGGCACCCACTTGTTAACAAAGGTACAGAAAGATCCTGTGGGAGATGGTACAGGTCTTGCTGAGGTCGAGGTTGAAGTCATCTGCTGCTCTCCTTCCAGCTGCTGAGGCAGTTATTTCTGCATAAAAGGTAATCTGTCAAGTGGGATTGGCCATTCACAAATCTGGGGGGAGATTTACAAAGCCATATTGGCCTATATGTGCTACAGCAGCAATAGAACCAGTGCCAGGAGTCCCACAGGAAAACAAACTAAAAGATGCCCAATGTGTTATATCATAATTTACATCGCTGTATGGAAATTCACATTCTTTCTGTCAGATTGATGGGAAGAGAGAGTTCTAGGCTGGTGTCTGCCTGTTGAGGCTCCCCATCTCTCCGTTTGGAAGCGTGTTTCTTGTACAGCTCCCCTGATAARCTGTCATCATGAACAGCGGGAAAGGGGGATTCTATGAAAGATGCAGCCCGTTGTACCACAAGACTRAGTGTCATCTGTTTGATCTAATTTAACAAGCAAACTCCTCGTGAGTGAGGGAAGTGTGTTTRTTGGTGACAGACCATACTACCTACGGTGGTCTATAAGCAGGTGGGTAGTCGGGCAGTTTCCCTAATGCTAAGAGAACAGCAGTCCTTTAAAGGCTTCCAACAGGGAATGCAAATAGGATGACAGAACTTCTTGAGCAGTGGCATCAAAGGTAATAAATAAATCCTTAGCTAACTGGCAGGGATATTTGGCTCACAGAGACCGATCATCAGACGCTGTGTTCTGGGCTGTCTCCGTGCGTGACTAATGCTGGACTTCTCCCCACAAGTCGGAAAAAATATCCCCTGCAAGTTGGTGGTGACAGAACGGGCTCTCTTCACAGGTTAGTTGATGACCTGGGAGGGTGTGGGGGAGAAAGCAAGACTAACAGGAAGCAATTCTAGTAAATGTGATTTAAAAAAAAAAAAAGAAAGAATTAAAAAGTGTGTGGGGGTTCCTTCCTTCTCAGAGAGACCCAGCTATCACAGGCATAACCAAAAGAAACCTTCCTTGGCACAGAAGGTTCTTTGAGACCAGCATGCTGAGACTTACATGATAGCCCAGAAGATAGCTTGGTACTTTTATATTGTTTTAATACATGTCATTGTTTACGCTGGTAAAAGAACTTGGCTGGAGCAGTTCTCTAATCTGTGCAGTAGAGCCCAGTGCTGGAGCTGTATTGCAAAATGAGGAGGGAAACACAAATGGTGTTTTGCTGTGCCTCATCTGTCACCACATTCTCTCTCTTTGCTGTGCAAAAGCACAGCCTGGCAGCATAGGGACCTAGTCTTTGACCCTGGCTGCTGAGTGTTGCTCTGGTGTATATGCCAAAGTGCTTTATAATAATATCTAGACTAGCAGGATATGTAGTAACAGCCGTGTTTGCTTTCATAAATCARTCCTAAAACCAAATCTGTAGGTGAATCCTTGTTCCTGGCCCAGACCATGCATATTAGTAGTGCTAATTGCCTCCCTAGGCAGAGGGCTTGCAGAGAGATTCAATCCCAGCACTAAGTGTCCTGTATCCTGCTGTGAGGGCATAACTGGGCTGAGGAGAGGCAAGCCCAGCTGCTCTTAGAGCAGAGTATCCTCTTCACTGGGAAAGGGTTGCCCTGAAATACTGCTAGTGCTGAGGTATTAACAACCACTAATAAACTAACAGCTGCAATCCGGGGTGATGCAGTTAAATGTCRATGTCCCCCCACGCAGAGGTGACCAGAAGGGGCCAGGCAGGAGCAGGGCACACGCTGTGATGAAGGAGAGTTCTGTCACAGCCGTGTTGGGTCAAGTGGTTCTGGAGGACCTTGTCTGCCACGTGCCATCCCGTGGGCAAGGCGCAAGCTTTGGTTACTGCACGCTGCAGTGTGCACCACCAGAAAGGGAATAGCTCGGCGTGTGTGAGCTGGGGCTTCCACTCTCAAAGCTGAGGGTTTCGTTGGCATGCTTTTAAACTTGAAAATAAATAAACAAAATGCAGACCTTGTCACCCTGTTATTAGGAGRGCAAAGGCAAGCAGCACTGAAAGAGCTGGGTGGCTCTCTGTGGTGGATCCACGCTGCTTAAAACCTCATAAATTTTTTAAAAAGCTTCATGCAAGCCCCATAAAGATAAATTGTGGATTCAGGATAACAYGATGACCTGCTAATTATAGCTTGCTTTAGATGTGTCCCTTGCAGAGGCCACTCTGCGTTTTTAGAATTCCAGTTCAGCTGGAGCCATTGCAAACATCCAAAGCCAGTTCCCACTCCCTGAGCAAAGAAAGTGGCATGTGGGGAAAGTTCCTCTGTTCTTACCTGAACAGCTCCAAGGCTGGCTCAGTGAGTTAACATTTCCATGGTGGATTTGATCAGTGGGGACGCAAAGGATAAACAGAACAAATAGCTTTCTCGAGGGCCCAGGCTGAAGGTCCCTGTTGCTGGAGCACGTTGGGTCTTCTTCCCTGCCCACGTCCATCGATTCCTGAGGAGGAAAATCAAAGGTCTCTGTGTGATAGGAGGCTGTGGCTCTGCCAAAGGGCTCACCAGGGATTGGGACACTGCAGCATGGGGAGTGCATGGCC